GTAAAGGAGAAAGATCTCTTGGAAAGAGAGAGCCTGAAGATACCAGAGAGATGGGATAACTAATAAAGTAGGTCTCAAAGGAGAGATAGACAGTTAGGCAGCAAAGTGAATAGAGCCTGGAGTCAGGTTTCCTGGAGTCAAGAAGGCCTGAATTCAAATCAAATACACTTACTAGCTGTATCACCCTAGGCAAGTCACTTAACCCTGTTTGCCTCGATTTCCTCATCTATAAAATGGGCTGGAGAAAGAAATGACAAACCACTCCAGTATCTCTGCCAAGAAAACCCTAAATGAGGTCATGAGGAGTCTGAAACAACTGAACAAAAACAACAGACTGGTCCACATTTACAGACCCTTAAACATCATGGTCCCTTAGTTCATTAACATCCTCAGCTCTATTTCAACCATCCACAGGGGTAGGCATAGCTTAGAATTCACTAGCACTCAGAACTGTGCATTTCCATAATACTGATCTCTAAATTCCCCTTAAGATCAGAATTGCCTTCCTCCATCTCTCCCTCTAATGCACTCTTCCTAAAACTATTCTTTGTTTTCATACATGGTCACCAAGGATTTTATTCAACCTTGTTTGACCAGTTCCCTGCTCTGGCTTTACTTCCTTCCAGTCACCCTATATTTAACTAATTCAACAAGTCATTCATTGTCCTTCATTGTCCTGAATCCCTTATTCTTCTATTGTTCAAGGCTCCTCTAACCCTCAACACTTCCATCGTTTATTCCTATTCCTAAGTTTTTGAATACTGCCAGAGCAAGTCATGCAACCGTGCCAACTGTGTCAACTAAAAATTAATGTTATCCAATTTCATCAAAGCCATCAGTGTTGCATGGCAATCTTTATTCTTCCTTGTTTGGCTTTCTATCATGCTACCCTCTGCCTCCCTCCTCTCCTCTCCCTCCTCTCACTCTGTCCACATAGGGAATCATACCCTTACCTGTGGGTGCTCTGCCCAAAGGAATAAAAATTTTGATCGCTTGAAACCTTGCAAGATATCTTGGGGTTTATGGGCTAGATTTCTTTTTTCCTCTTCCCTACTTATTTAACCTATCATTTAGAAAACAAACAAACTATGCCTTAAACTCAAATCACTGGCTCTCACTGATTGGTCAACAATAGGTCCCAGCCCAAGCCTTACTTGGTCATTGTTTGGGTTTTGATGGCTCAGAGTGAGAATCAAAGCAATTATTTTTCTTTTGGTCAAAAACCCTGAGGGTCTTCCCCTCCCAGATTGATTTTTTTTTTTCTTGACTAGGTAAAAGAGGCCATTTTTTGCTTCATTTCTTACCTAGCCTTAATCACTGAAGGGTATTGCCTCAGACAAACTGAAACCTGGAAAAGACCTTAGCTTAAAAGGGACAAGTGCTCCCACTACATTAGGGGCCATCTCCAGTCATTTTGATGTATATCTTGCCACTGGATCCAGATGTCTGAGTGAGCCAGAATGAGGCTGGTGACTTTGCACAGCCCTGCCTCACTTAAATCCAATTCACTTGCAAGTCAAGATGTCATTGGTCATCTTCAAGAAGGAAGGACAAACAACAACAAACAATCATGCTACCCACAATGGCTATTCCAAATATCTTTCTCTGTTCTTGAGCACCCAATCCCCTATTTCTCAGGAAATAACATTGCCTTCTACTTTACTGAGAAAAATCCAGGCCACCAAATGGCTTCCAAGGTCACTGTTCTCTCTTGGTTCTCCACTTTCTAAGTAGGGGTATCCTCTAAAGCTTTGTCCTGGTCTGTCTTCTTTTCAACTTCTAAACTGCCATTTACTCTCAGAAAGCAGAGTCTATAAAGCATATATATCCATTATCTTTATTTGGTTAGGGACAGGGCCACAAAAACATTTAGGCATTATGTATGAGATTGACAGATTTTTGCCTTGAATTAGGACTTAAAAAGACTAGATCCATCCATACAAATTCAAATTGTTTATAAAAAAAACACCTGGCAGGATTCAATCCATAGCATGTCCCTATTTCTCTTCCAGAAGGAAATTTTTGTCCTTGATTGGTATTATAACTCCTTACAATCATAGTTAGGGTTAATAGTTAACCTGCTTAAGTAGAAAAAAGAAGAAGGCAAGAGCCTGTGATATTCAATCTAATTCAATGAATTAATCTTTAATCAAAATATAATGTAAACACATATAACTTATATCAAATTGTTTGCCTTTGCAATGATGAGGGTGGGGACAAAGGGAGAGAATTTGGAACTCAAGTTAAAAAAGAATAAATATTGAAAATTGTTTTTACATGTGATTTGGGGAAAATAAAATACTAAATTAGATAGATAGATAGTAAAATTCTGTGTAACTGAACTGTGGCCATCTAATGAAAACCAAAGTAACAGGGACTTAATGACCTGCAAATAACTGGGATTTTTTAAAGAGATCTGGAAAGACCTATATTATGTTTCAGGGAGACTAGAATTCAACCTTTGTGGAGAGTAGGAGGACAGTTGTGACTGGACAGTCACTCTCTCAGGTAGGGTATTTGTAGTCTATGGGTATAATTCTCTTTTTTTGACTTAATGATAAAACCTATTTTTCCTGGTTAGCCAAGGGGCAAAGGGGAGGTTGGAGAGGTAAGTAGTTACAGTTAGACCCAGGATTAGAACCAGCGGTCTTAGACCAAGACCTCTTCAGGCTTTAGGGGCTTCCTAATCATAATTCAAGTTCTCAAGTCCATCCCTTCTCTTTGCTTGCCCTGTCTCTGTGAGGGACTGTCTGATGTTGGCTACTGCCAAGTGGAGGTTGTGGCAAGATGGGGTAGGAACTGGGTATTAGGAAGTAACCGGAGCTCACCTTCCTGAGGCAGTGGGCAGTGCTATGTGAGCTGTTATAAGCTGGGGAAGGAACAGAATACAACGAAGTAGCTGGAGCACGTGCTCCTGAGGCAGGGGGCTGTGCCACATGGGAGTGGGACAGCAGAGAACGAGTTCCTTTGTCTAGTCCCCTCCCTAAGTGCAACGTCAACCCCAGACGCCTCCTTCCTGTGTCCTTCCTGACTTCCTGGGTCACGTACCTTCCCTTTGTGTAGCACTGACCCCAGACGCCTCCTCCTGGTATCTGGGCCTGACTTCCTAGGTCACATGCTCTCCCTTTGTCTATGCACTAATCCCAGACGCCTCCTTCCTGTATCTGGTCCTAGCCTCCTGCGTCACTTCCTCTCCCTTGGTGCGCTAAACCCAGACATCCCCTTCCGGTATCTGACCCTACAATCATTGACTAGTAGGCGGGCTGAAGAGGAGGGTCTAAGTAGGTACTTAAGGAACGATCGTGGTTGGAACACGCGCTCTCTCTTTGCTCCTGCTCTCTTGCTATGGCCTTCCTGCTTGGCCTTGCTGTGATGGCCTCTGAATAAAGCTCGGGTGTTGGCACCTCCTGGTCAGCTTGTCTCTGTGTGTTTATCCGGGTAGGCTCCAAAGACTGGTAAGTAGTATGACTCTGGCAGCCTGCTCCTTATAGGAGGAGAGTGCACGGTGTGGCCGGCACATGTCTCCCCCTCTTTCTCTCTTTTCTCTGAAGTCTCTACCTATCAGGAACCAAGTCTCCCTATGGACATAGTCCTGTCAATTCAATAAAATATTTATTTAGTGCTTACTAAGGTCAGGCACTGGGAATATAAAGGAAAGCCACACACACACACACACACACACACACACACACACACACACACACACATACCATTCCTGCTCTCAAGGAGCTCACAGTCTACAACATGCAAACAACTATGTACAAATAAGATGTATGTATGATAAATTGGAGATAATCTCAGAGGGGAAGCACTAAGACTAAGGACTACTAAGAAAGAGTTCATGCAGAAGGTGGGATTTTAGCTAAGACTTGAAGGAAACCAGGGGAAGCAGAAGCATGGAGGCAGAGATAAGCAGGGAGAAAGTTCCAGGCATGGGGAACAACCAGTGAAAATGCTCAAAGTGGGAAGATGGAGTGTCTTGGGTGATAAGCACAAGGAGGCCAGAATCAGTGCGTAACAGAGTACATGGACAGAACTAAGGTGTAAAAAGACTGAGAAGGGGCCAGATTATGAAGGGCTTTAAAAGTCAAGCAGAGGATCTTATATTTGATCCTGGACATTTTATATACTCCATTGGAGTTTATTGAATAGGGGGCATGACATGGTCAGAACTGCACTTTATTTTACTGGGACAGCTAGGTGATGCAGTGGATAGAATGTTGGGACTGGAGTCAGGAAGACTTATCTCCATGAGTTCAAATCTGGCCTCAGACATTTACTAGTTGTGTGACTAACTTAACCCTGATTGCCTCTGAGGGAAAAGTATTTTATTTTTTTCTAATTACAAGTAAAAACAATTTTTAACATTTTTTAAAATTTTGAGTTCCAAATTCTCTCCTACGCTCCCTCCCCATATTCCTCCCTGAGATGACAAACAATTTGATATAAGTTATCCATGTGCAATCATGCAAAACATATTTCCATATTGGTCAGGTTGTGAAAAGAAAAACACAGACCAAAAAAATCACCAAAAAAAAGTGAAAAATAGTATTGTTTGATCTGCATTCATACTCCAGTTTTTTCTCTGGAGGTGGATAGTATTTTTCATGATGAGTTCTTTGGAATTGTTTTGGATCATTGTATTGCTGAGAATAGCTAAATCATTCACAATTGATCATCATACAATATTGCTTTTATGTACGAGATTCTCCTGGTTCTGCTCATTTCACTCTAAATCAGTTCATGTAAGTCTTTCTGGGTTTTTCTGAAAGCATCTTGCTCATCATTTCTTATAGCACAATAGTATTCCATGACAATTGTAAACCAAGGCAGATGCTCTCTTGAGGGAATATAGCTCTCTTTTTCCCTCAAAGGGGAAGACTCCAGGAGAATGCAAAGGCCAGTTCTCAAGTTTTAAATCCCCCTTTTGCCTAAAGAGAAGAAAACCAGAGAAAGATGATGCCTGTGAAATTAAAGGAAGGTTTTTATTAAGCAGGGAAATAAAAAATGCACATGGGGACTGCCAACCTATGCTGACAGCCCATGGATGAGGAGAGTTTATGTATCTCCTAAACAAAGGAAGGTAAGGAATTTGGGGGGAAAGTGGGCTTAGAAAGGAATGAGTCAGTGAGCCCCATTCCCATTCCCCAGTGAGGAATTCCAGGTGTCAGAGTTGTGGCCCTTTGATACATGAATCAGAAGGCATCCTTGGTGATGAGCAGTCCATATTTCAAAGCTTAATAAGGAGATGTCTCTAAAAATAGGATAATTCCAAGAGTCCCATAACCAACAGCTCGGGGAGTCTCTGGAGATAAGGATGTCCCTTGAAGGTCCATAAACACCAAATGGCTCAGGATCTGCTTCAAAGCTGGTATGAGATTAATTGGCTTCAGAGTTACTGAATTTCTGCACATCCAGCTAGGTTTACTCTTGGTCACCACAAGGGATTGTTGATATGTCAAGCCGATACAGCCAGTCTTCATACAGTTCTTCTGGTTACCTGGATATCTGGCGGGGTGGGCCTCAAGCAAATCAAAGTATCCATTTTCACACAATCATATACGGCAACTTGGTGGTTCCTCCTATTGGTTCTAATTCTTCTTTACAACATGACAAATATGAAAATATGTTTAATAGGGATGTATATGTAGAGCCCATATCAGATTGCTTGCTGTCTTGGGAAGGGAGGCAGGGAAGGAGGGGGAGAAAATTTAAAACTCAAAAGCTTATGGAAGTGAATGTTGAAAACTAAAAATAAATTAATTAATTTAAAAAATCCTATGTCACAACTTATTCAGCTATTCCCCAATGGATGGGCATCCCCTCAATTTCCAATTCTTTACCAGATCTACACTTTAGGAAGATCACTTTGAAAGCTGAATGAAGGATGAATGGGAGTGTGGAGAGAATTGTGTCAGGGAGACCAGCTAGCAGCCTATTATAGTAGTCCAGGTGTGAAGCGATGAGGGCCTTCACCAGGGTGGTGGCAATGTTAGAGGAAAGAACAGGGAGTATTTGAGAAATATTAAGAAGGTAAAATAGACAGGACTTAGCAACAGGTTGGATATGGGAGATGAGAGAGATAATACTGAGGTTGCAATTGAGCTTGGGAGGATAATGGTATTTCCACAGTAACAGGGAAGTTAAGGAGAGAGAAGTGTTTGGGGAAGAAAGTTCAGTTTTGGGCATGTTGAGTTTAAGATGTCTGTAAGACATCTAGTTTCAAATGTTATTTAGAAGTTCTTTAGAGGGGCAGCTAGGTGGTGCAGTGGATAGAGTACCGGCCCTGAAGTCAGGAGGACCTGAGTTCAAATCCAGCCTCAGACCAAACACTTGACACTTACTAGCTGTGTGACCCTGGGCAAGTCACTTAACCCCAGTTGCCTAAAACAAAAAACAAACAAACAAAAAGTTCGTTAGACAGTTGGAGATTTAAGACTAAAGAGATGTTAGGACTGAACAAATAGATTTGAGAATCACGTCTCTTTTTTTAAAGGAGGCATTTGAGGTTAAGTGAGTAGCCCAGGGTCACACAGCTAGTAAGTGTCTGAGGTCAGAGGCTAGAAAGGTAGGAAGGGGCTAATGGGGAGCTGGAAGATGTGGGATTGGACCTCTGAGGAGAGACGTTAGATGTAGATTTGGGGCTCATGTATATAGAGGTAATAACTGAAGCCATTAAAATGGATGAGAAAGTGTGTAGAGAAGAGAACCAAAGACTAAACCTTGGGGGATATCCACATGAAGGGGCCAAAGCAGTAGAAGCAAGCAAAATAGTCAGAGGAAGAATTTTCATCTACCAACGTGTCCCTCACAAGGCACTTTTGTGTAGCCCCACTCCATGCCCAAGTGAGTTTGGAGGTTCCCTGAAGGAGATAGCCCTATAATACTGTGTAAATGTGGGGAGATGGGACTCCTGATTGGCCAAGGGGCCTCTGAGTCCACGATGCTGGTCTCCATTAAGATGGTTCTCAGGGGCAGCTAGGTGGTGCAGTGACTAGAGAGCACTGGCCCTCGAATCAGAAGGACCTGAGTTCAAATTTGACCTCAGACACTTACTAGTTTTGTTCTCTTCCCCTCGTAATTTTGTAGGTGTCATCTACTGCCCTGGCTTGAGAGTTGGGTGCTGCCCTATTTTTGGAGGTGTGGGGGAGGGGTGGTCATCGTGCTGGCTTCCTATCCTCTCATTGCCCCTCTCTCACTATCTGTGCTCTCACTTTCTGTGTCTCAAATTAAACCACATAGCTTTCCCTGGTGTGAATTTGCTCCATATGAAAGTCTATAGTTTTGCAGTCTAATTCTTCTGTGAAGTCTCTTGTAATCCCTGGGTAGTTGCAACAAACTAGTCTCCTGGTGTAACTTTGCATGAGATTTGACAGGTGTTTGGCTGAGGAGAACTAGTAACTACCCTCCAGTGGGCATAGGTGTGATCTCCCAACTTATCCCTTCTGGCACATCTCTCACTCTCTACTCTTTGCCCTTGGCTCCATCCTATAGGGGGAAGCTATTCCTAGAACCTACCCAGAATGGAATAATAGCAAAGTTGCCTGAGGTCACTGCCTGAGGGGCATTAAGAGAACATTTCTTACTAAGCCTCTTTCCCACCCCCACCCTCGTTGGGGGCCACCTCCAGTCATCCTGATCTATATCTTGCCACTGGAATCAGATGACTCTGGAGGAGAAAGTGAGTCTAGTGACCTTGCACAGCCCTCCCTCACTTAAATCCAATTCACTTGCAAGTCATGGCATCATCTTATGGTCCTCTTCGAGAAGGAAGGACAAACAACAACCTTTCTGGCTAACTCATTTGTGCTTTAAGGGAATTGGGACGGTCCAGATGTGACTTACCCTTTTCCCAGTTTGGGGGAGGGGCATTATATTTACCAAATATTTATTTACCAAAAGATATTTGTACCAAACACACACACACACACACACACACAGAGGGTTATATTTACCAAAATATTTACCGATAAAATATCTTCTGTTCATGCAGCAATTTAGAAAGAGAATTTCTTTTCTCTCTGGGTCTAAGACTAAAACTTCTCCTTCAACTCCTTGAGCAAATAAAATACAAAGATATAAAAAGTTGGGTTAACTGCTGTTTTATCTTAATATTGGCTTTTAGAGACTAGATGGCCAGCAATATAAAATATAAACTTTAAAGAAACAAAAAGATAGGCTTTCACATAAATACACATCTTCCCTGGGTGGGAGAAGGAAGAAAGGAGTTTGACCATTTGTAGTTTATAGCAGCCAAGAACAGCTACAGTCTTTGTTGCAATGGCTCCAGGTGGTCCCAAATCTCACCCTTAATTGTGGCTGGGGTAGCAGATGTCACAGATGGTAGCAGGGGAGGCCAAGGTCAGTCTCTGTGTTTCTGCACACTATTCTGGCTATTTCTCAAAATGTAGCTTTTCTCCCTTATTCCCCTGGCCCCCTGCCCTTTCAGAGAAGAGAAAAAGGAGACTGTCTTCTTTTGGAGCCATCACAGCTCCAGTGGTCCTTGGATCAAAATATGCTGATGATTTTGTCCTACCTTGTGTGTATACAGTGTCAACTGTACTCTAATTCTTTGGTTAAAGGGCATCATATCAGTCTTCTTGTTTTTGGTTTTTCATCTCCATCTTTTATCTAGCTGCCCAAGTAAACTTCTTAAATCACTACACCAAACGTGGCACTTATTGATTCAAAATCCTTTGGCAGTTCACCAGTTCTTATTAAATAAAGGGTAAACTTCTGACCCTGTCATACACACACATATATATATTCAAGGCATATATGTGTATATGTACCTATTTATACTCTATCTCCAACCTACTTTTTCAGCTTCATACTATTACTCCTTTTTTGTGTACCTCATGTTCTAACCAATGGAAAGTAATCCCCTTCCCCAAACTCTGCCATATCCTATCTCCATGCCGTTTTTCATGAAGTCCAACATTCCTGGAATGTTCTACCCCTCCACAATCTCTATTTGTTGAAATCCGTTTTTGCCTTCAAGAAGCAACTCAAGGAGACTTCATAGAGTTTTACACGACATTGATAAAAATGGTTTATAGGGCTGGGCCCTGGAACTCACCACTAACAATCTTTCTTGACAAAGATCAGGGTGATAAAAATCCGTTAATTCAATTCATTTCAGGAAATATAAAACCCACCTCTATCTCTTTTCTTTTTTATTCATCTTACAATACTTTATCTGGATCTCTTCTTTGCACTCTTCCTAATATCAATTATTTGTGAGCATATCTTCTCATTAGATTATAAACCCCTTGGCAGCTTGGTTAGTATTATATCACTTTCTGTTTTCCTAACGCTTAGTGCAATGCCTTGTCTGCACTACACTCAATAAGTACTGGACTTGGATTCAGGAGAGAAACGTTTAGTAGCTGTGTGATCATGGACAAGTAATTTCACTTACCTGAGCCTTAGGAGATGGAGATAATTGTGAGGGACTGTCTGATGTTGGCTACTGCCAAGTGAGGGTTGTGGCAAGATGGGGTAGGAACTGGGTATTAGGAAGTAACCAGAGCTCATCCTCCTGAGGCAGTGGGCAGTGCTAGGCGGAGCTGTGATAAGCTGGGGAAGGAACAGAATACAAGGAAGTAGCTGGAGCACGTGCTCCTGAGGCAGGAGGCTGTGCCACGTGGGAGTGGGATGGCAGAGGACGAGTTCCCTTTGCTTAATCCCCTCCCTAAGTGCAACGTCAACCGCAGACACCTCCTTCCTGTGTCCTTCCTGACTTCCTGGGTCACGTACTTTCCCTTTGTGTAGCACTGACCCCAGACGCCTCCTCCCGGTATCTGGGCCTGACTTCCTGGGTCACGTACTCTCCCTTTGTCTATGCACTAATCCCAGACGCCTCCTTCCTGTATCTGGTCCTAGCCTCCTGCGTCACTTCCTCTCCCTTGGTGCGCTAAACCCAGACATCCCCTTCCGGTATCTGACCCTACAATCAATGACTAGTAGGCGGGCTGAGGAGGAGGGGCTAAGTAGGTACTTAAGGAACGGGTCTCGTGGTGGGAGCTCGCTCTTTCTTTGCTCCTGCTCTCTTGCTATGGCCTTCCTGCTTGGCCTTGCTGTGATGGCCTCTGAATAAAGCTCGGGTGTTGGCACCTCCTGGTCGGCTCATCTCTGTGTTTATCCGGGTAGGCTCCGAAGACTGGTAAGTATGACTCTGGCAGCCTGCTCCTTATAGGAGGAGAGTGCACGGTGCGGCCGGCACAGATAATAATATCTATTGTATTGACCTCACTGTGTGACTGTGAGGACCAAATGAGATAATATGTAGAAAATGCTTGTCATAATGGGATCTAGTTCAGTCAGTTTTGGTCAAGGGATATTTTAAATTATGCACTAAAGGGCTCTTTGCTTGGTCCTGCTCTGTTAATCATTTTTTACCAATAGAGAATGAGTAGATAACAATAGCTAATGTTTACATAGTTTTTTAAGGTTTTCAATGTGCTTTACATATATTATCTCATTTGATTCTTATAACAATCCTATGAAATAGCTATACCACCACCATTTTAGTGGTTTTATTATCTTATGATTTAAAAAATGAGGCTCAAAGTCATCAAGTGGTGATATAGCATTCAAATCTGGCCTCAGACACTCACTAGCAATGTGACTCTGGGCAAGTCATTTAACCCAATGAGTTGGAGAAGGAAATGGCAAACCACTTCAGTATCTTTGTCAAGAAAACACCAAAATGTTGTTGAACCTAAAATGGGGTCAACAGCAACACTTTTTAATTGAGTTAGTCAATCAAAACTCAATGTGAATGGAACCTGTACACCTCACACCTGAGGAACTTGTTTAAAAGAGAGGAACTATCTCAGAAGCAGATAGAGATGACCAGCCAGGGTGTGGAAGCAGAGAGGAAAGAGGAGGTTCAGTCATATGGAGCTGAGCCAGAAAAAAACAAAGGAACTGCTGTTGTTCCTGGGCAATCACTAAAAGGAAAAAGAGAAGGTAGAACTGAGCTGTGGAAGAGAAGGGTGACATCAAGGTGGGTCATCAGTACTGATGACATCTCAAAACAAAAGACAAATATTGACACTGGAGTCTCCAAAACCTTAGAAGGATCCTTTGATCTCTTTGATGACTTTTCCTTTTACATAGTCAGTTAATATATAGGCTGTTTTTCTAGTTTATTTTTTTTTAACTTTGCATTATTTCATAAAACTTTTTCCAGATTTCTTAATAATCCTCATACTTGTGATCTTAATTTAATATTGTATTATGTTAATGTGCCCCAATTTACAGTCAATCTTCATTATTTATGGATTCCATATTTACAAAGTTGCCTACTTGGTAAAATTTATTTGTAACTCAAAAATCAATATTCAAGATGGGACATGCACAGTGTTGAAAATTTGAGTTGTCTAACTTACATGTTCCCAGCTGAGGTCAAACAAGGTAACACTGTTTTCTTGTTTCAGCTCCTCGTACTGTAACCAGTGTCTTCCTTTTTGTGAACTATTTAGTGCCATGTTTCCCCCATTTTTATGCTTTGTTTTGGGTGATTTCACTTTTTTAAATGGCCTCCAACTTATGATGAAAAGTGCTACACACCTCTAGAGAAAGAACTGATGGAGTCTGAATATATATCAAACCATACTTTTTTTTAAACTTTCTTTTTCTTTCTTTCTTCCTTTCTTTTGGTTTGTGTTTTCTTTCATAACATGACTAATATGGAAATATATTTTGCATGAGTACATATGTATAACCTTTATCAAATTGCTTGCCTTCTCAATGAGGGGGGAGAGAAAGAATTAGGAACTCAAATTTTTTTAAAAAGGATGTTAAAAATGGATTTTGGATATAATTGGCATATATGTTTATACACACATACATATATACATATATGTTTATATATACATATACATACGTACACACACACACACACACATATACTTATCCCCAAAGCATAGTGCTGAAGTGCCATCTAGTGTTCCTAAGCACAAGAAGGCTATAATGTACCTTATGGAGAACATATGTCTTAGATATGCTTCATTCAGGCATGAGTTATAGGGCTGTTTTCCATGAGTTCAATATTAAAGAATCAACAATATGGTATATCCAAAAAAAGAAAGAGGAAATCCATTGTTTTGTATGCGAAGCTGCTCCAGAAAGTGCTAAAATAAATGTGACCAGAGGCCCAACCCCATATTTTCCCTAGGAGCAATGGTTTAGTTTTTGCTAATTCAGTGTTCATTGCAACTTTATAGGACTTAGCTACCACTCATGACAAGAATGGAGTGTATTTAACTGTTCCCCTTTGTTGGAAATTTAAGTTGTTTCCAATTTTTTACAATTATAAATAATCCTACTGTCAGAGTCTTTGAACAGATAACTTTTTCTTTTAGATAACATTCTCAGGGGATATTCCGAATAGTGGAATTACTAGGTCAAAGCATATGAGTACTTTTGTAATGTTTGCATTATAAATATGGGATAGTCAGCCTATGGGTTGGTAGTTATTGACATTTTCTTGGTTTTTCTTTTTTTTTTCTGGTATTGAGGAGGTCCCTGATTTCTTCACAATATTTAGCATGCTCCCCTCTTTCAGGTTCCTTAAGATTAGATGCCTCAGTACTGTCAAAATTGTGTAACCTCCAGCATGGACACCCTCTACTTCATCTAGCCCAGATGATGTTCCCATTTTTTGTTTTATTTACTGTCATTTCTATTTCCTCATGCAACACAATGGGAGGCTCTGATGGTAGTCTCCACAATCAGTACAGGAAGTTGTTTCAAAATCTACATAGATCTTTTCCATTTTTTTCATCTGTTAGTTTTCTTCCTTCTAATTTCATCCGTGAATGCCTTTAGGATGATCTGGCTTATTTGGGTCTCTTGTCAAGTTTTCTAAAACTTTTTTTTCCCCTTCAACTGTTCCTTATCATTAGAATGTTCTAAATCATTATTAGTAAGAGAAATACAAATTAAAACAACTCTGAGGTACCACCTTACATCTATCAGACTGGCTAATATGACAGAAAAGAAAAAAGACAAATGTTGGAGGGGATGTAGGAAAACTAGGACACTAATACATTGTAGGTGGAGTTGTGAACTGATCTAACTATTATGGAGAGCAATTTGGAACTAGACTCAAAGGCCTGTCAAACTGTGTATACCCTTTGATTCAGCAACACCATCCATATGCTATAGCAATAGGTCTGCATCCCAAAGAGGTTGTGGTTTTTTTTTTTTTTTTTTTTTTTGGTGAGGCAATTGGGGTTAAGTGACTTGCCTAGGGTCACACAGCTAGTAAGTGTTATGTGTCTGAGGCTGGATTTGAACTCTGGTCCTCCTGACTCCAGGGTTGGTGCTCTATCCACTGCACCACCTAGCTGCCCCTTAATGTTTGTTTTGTTTCCTTTTTTTTTCTAAGAGATTTTTTTAAAAAGGGAAAAGAACCTATTTGTATAGAAATACTTATAGCAGCTCTTTTTGTGGTGGCTAAGAATTGGAAATTGAGGGGGTGCCCATCCATTGGGGAATGGCTGAACAAGTTTTGGTATATTATTATAATGGAATATTATTGTGCTATAAGAAATGATGAACAGGATGATTCCAGAAAAACCTGGAAAGACTTACATGAACTGACACAGAGTGAAATGAGTAGAACCAGGAGAACATTGTACACAGTAACAGCAATATTGTACAATGAAGAATTGTGAATGACTTGGCTATTCTCAGCAATACAATGATCTAAGACAATTCCAAAGGATTCATGATGAAAAATGCTACCCACCTACAGAAAAAGAACTGATGACGTCTGAATTCAGATTGAAGTATACAATCTTTCTTCCTTCCTTCCTTCCTCCTTCCTTCTTTCTTTCCTTTCTCTTCCTCTTTCTTTTTTCAAGTTTTCTTTCACAAAATGACTAATATGGAAATGTTTTACATGATTGCAAATGTATAACCTAGATCAAATTGCTTACCCTCTAAGGGAGAGGGGAAGGGAGGGAGGGAAAGATAGAATTTGGAACTCAAAACTTTTTTTAAATGCTAAAAATTGAGGGTGGAAATAAAATATTATGAAAAAAATATGCACTGAAAAAAAAAAGAATGTGAGCTCCTTGAGAGTGAGAACTGTCATACTTTTCTATTTGTATTCTCAGTGTTTAGCACAGTGCTTTGCATATAGCAAACACATGGTAAATACTTTTTTGATTGATTGATCGATTCAATTAAGTAATGTCTCATAATTTCCCACCATTATGCTCTGTAATATTTTACAAATAAATTTGTGTTACATTAGAGTGGAGATAACTTTGATGACCCTGATTCTTTTTTTTTTTCTTTTTTTTTAAGGATTTTTTTAATTTGTTTTCAACATTTACTTCCATAAGATTTTGAGTTCCAAATTTTCACCCCATCTCACCCCTCCCCCTACCCCAAGATGGCATGCATTCTAAATACCCCTTCCCCTAGTCTGCCTTCCCTTCTATCTCTCCCCCCCTTCTCTTATCCCCTTTCCCTTCAATTTTC